ATTGATTTTCCCCTGTCATAGGAATGTGGAATTTCCACCACTAATGCAGAACCGCTATTGGGATGAACAACACTCCATGCGTTTTATAGCAAGGAGGCACGTTGACATGGGACTAATTGTATTTGTATCTCAAGTAGTATTTGTTCACATAAAACAACCACAATTTATAACGGACTCTTGTATTATAGTACATAAATGTCATGGGCCTTGATCAAAAATTCTGCTCCAATCTGCATTCTCCACATTGTTTCAATCATAGATCGATAACAAAGCTCAGCCTGATGTTTCTAATCTCACGAGCACGTGTATGATTCAAACACTGGGAACGTTATATCAGCTTCCAATGTATTTACTTTGACAGCGATGCAAGATATGCGTTGTTTATTTATTTAGCTTAACAGAGCTGTTTCCTATTGTAGAATATTATTAGCTACATCTACATTGAGGGAAAAAAGTATTTGATCCCCTGCTGATTTTGTAAGTTTGCCCACTGACAAAGAAATGATCAGTCTAGAATTTTAATGGTAGGTTTATTTGAACAGTGAGAGACAGAATAACAACAACAAAAAATCCGGAAAAACACGTCAAAAATGTTATAAATTGATTTTCATTTTAATGAGGGAAATAAGTATTTGACCCCCTCTCAATCAGAAAGATTTCTGGTTCCCAGGTGTCTTTTATACAGGTAACGAGCTGAGATTAGGAACACACTCTTAAAGGGAGTGCTCCTAATCTCAGCTTGTTACCTGTATAAAAGGCACCTGTCCACAAAAGCAATCAATCAATCAGATTTCAAACTCTCTACCATGGCCAAGACCAAAGAACTCTCCAAGGATGTCAGGGACAAGATTGTAGGCCTACACAAGGCTCGAATGGGCTACAAGACCATTGCCAAGCAGCTTGGTGAGAAGGTGACAACAGTTGGTGCGATTATTCGCAAATGGAAGCAACACTAAAGAACTGTCAATCTCCCTCGGCCTGGGGCTTCATGCAAGATCTCACCTCGTGGAGTTGCAATGATCATGAGAACGGTGAGGAATCAGCCCAGAACTACACGGGAGGATCTTGTCAATGATCTCAAGGCAGCTGGGACCATAGTCACCAGGAAAACAATTGGTAACACACTACGCCGTGAAGGAAAGAAATCCTGCAGCGCCCGCAAGGTCCCCCTGCTCAAGAAAGCACATATACATGCCCGTCTGAAGTTTTCCAATGAACATCTTAATGATTCAGAGGACAACTGGGTGAAAGTGTTGTGGTCAGATGAGACCAAAATGAAGCTCTTTGGCATCAACTCAACTCACCGTGTTTGGAGGAGGAGGAATGCTGCCTATGACCCCAAGAACACCATCCCTACCGTCAAACATGGAGGTGGAAACATTATGCTTTCGGGGTGTTTTTCTGCTAAGGGGACAGGACAACTTCACCTCATCAAAGGGACGATGGACGGGGCCATGTACCGTCAAATCTTGGGTGAGAACCTCCTTCCCTCAGCCAGGGCATTGAAAATGGGTCGTGGATGGGTATTCCAGCATGACAATGACCCAAAACACACGGCCAAGTCAACAAAGGAGTGGCTCAAGAAGAAGCACATTAAGGTCCTGGAGTGGCCTAGCCAGTCTCCAGACCTTAATCCCATAGAAAATCTGTGGAGGGAGCTGAAAGTTCGAGTTGCCAAACGTCAGCCTCGAAACCTTAATGACTTGGAGAAGATCTGCAAAGAGGAGTGGGACAAAATCCCTCCTGAGATGTGCGCAAACCTGGTGGCCAACTACAAGAAACGTCTGACCTCTGTGATTGCCAACAAGGGTTTTGCCACCAAGTACTAAGTCATGTTTTGCAGAGGGGTCAAATCCTTATTTCCCTCATTAAAATGCAAATCAATTTATAACATTTTTGACATGCGTTTTTCTGGATTTTGTTGTTGTTATTCTGTCTCTCACTGTTAAAATAAACCTACCATTTAAATTCTAGACTGATCATTTCTTTGTCAGTGGGCAAACGTACAAAATCAGCATGGGATCAAATACTTTTTTCCCTCACTGTAAACCTGTGACCTCCCCATACGACTCGATGTGCTTCTGAACGCTGTATAATCTCGATGCCATGCGCTCTATGTAATAAGGTCACACGTTGTTCCCGCTAGCCTAATTTACTTTTGCACGCAACTTTATTTAGCTTTTGCAGGGATTGCAGAAACAGCACAACATTGCTAGACACTGGGTGCGTTCACTCGGAGGGAAATCTGCAGAGAAAGTCTGTTTGGATTTTAAATCCTGGCATTGTTTTTAATAGACTTTGTTGTTTTGAAGCCCAAGGACCTCGACTCTGTCACTTCTCATTGTGGCGCTGCATTATGGGAAGGACCATGAGACAATAATGCTGGGACATATTTATCGATCCACGCATCAATGTACGGTTCATAAATGTAACTCGCGTGTTTTATGTGTTGCACAGAACCCATTCTTTGTTAATATTTGTCGTAACTGCGCACGGATGGGAAAATATCGTGGATCATTAAAGGTCACCTTAATAGCATCGTACAGAACCCGGAGCTGCTTGGTTTGAATGCGATTATAATGTACGGTGGACACGATGTTCCAGTTAGTTGCGTTTGTGCTGGTGTTATTGTGCTGTACTCTGCAAGGGTACATGGAATCATGTTCCCAATACATCGCTGTGTGACACATCATGCACAAAACTTGTCTGCATTGAACACAATGGTTAAATTCACATTACGTACACACCTTTTTGTGAATTATCAAAAATAAACACGACTCATTTGACCTAACCATTTGGAATGTGAATTAATCGAATACTGTTTAATCACTGTGACATTTATTTTAATAATGATAATTTAGGTATGTTTTTTTTCTTCTTCAAAGCATACTCTTGTAGTATTTAAAGCGTACACGTGTTTATTTCTCTCTGTAATAAAACCAAAACGTATTTTTAAAAATTCAGGCCCAGCTGGGTCTTGACCTTGTGACCTTTACTACAGCGAGAGCAGGGATCCTCAAACACGGATTCGCTACAGGCCATCGGCAGAGCAGCGGAAGATTGTCGATTGCTTGAACAGAGAAGTGCTTTCCGAGAGGGCCACGCGCCCGTGCAGCGTTTGCGTGAAGGGGGCCCGGGGAATCGGCTCTGTGGACCCCTTTCCTTCCCCGCCCTGGGCCTGCCGGTCAAGCAGTGAACAAACACAACGACTCTTCCAGGCGCCATGAACGCCTACAGCCTGAGATCCTCGACACCAGGTAGGGCTGCACCGTACGTTTCACTCCACGTGGACTGCTTGCTGCTGTCGTTCTGCATGGAAATGCATTCATCATCGCGCGATGCTCAAAAGCGCCCTTGCAGTATGATATTCAGAAAAGCACTTAAAATAGGAAACAGGAGTAATTGAACTATTAAAATCTGTGTATGAAATATGGATGTACTGGTACCTGTCAAATGAATGTGGGATTCCTGACACTGGCTCAAACCCATCATCAAAGATGAACACCACCCAACGCTTAATTGAATAAAAAGAGAAATGGTGTACTCTTTTACGGTTGCCAGGGCGGGTTCAGATGTAATTTGTCACTAATGTTAGCCGTTGTTAGGAATCCATTCCCAGGTTGCCGGGTTCACAGTGAAGTGTGGTCACCGATCACAACCACTGCTCCACCACAGAAGCGTATAATAACAACGGGTATTTAATTAACCTTACTTAATAAATATTCCTTGGGTCTTTCGGTAAAGTCACGTTCAAAGAAAATAACAAAAAACTACGACGACGTTTCGATCGCAACACAAGCGGTCGTCATCATGATCGAAACGTCGTCGTTTTTTGTTATTTTCCTTCAACCTATCTACGTGACTTTACCGAAAGACCCAATGAATATGAATTCCTGCAGTCACGAAAGCTTTAAATCAAGACTTACTTAATAAACTTCAATATTTCGAACACGGGAGCCTAACGCCGTGTTTAAATGTGAAGAGCGTATGAGGAGATCACACGACTGTGCCTCGGATAGCCTTGGACAAAGAACTGCAGAACACCGCCTCCACGTGTGCATATGCATGCCCTCGTCATCCCTGGGTAGATTTGCAGAGGTGCCACAGCATTTCACATCCTCGAGACCAATAACGAAAAAAAATCATTAATGTTCATGAAATGTCCATATTTCCAATCATTAAAATGTATATATTTTTTTCGTTGGTGGATGTATCAACTTCTTTGACCAAGGCATTTGCAAATGATGCAGCAGTAGCTTTGACAGCGCACGTAGCGGCGTGGCCATCTGCTCATTGCCGCAGCAGCCAGTCTCCGGCAAAGTCAAGAACCCAAAAATGTAAGAAGGGCGATGACTCAACGTAGGCATGGCGATCCAGACGCGAGCACAAGGGCCGTGTTAACACGCAAAGAAGCGCCGCTGATCGTGAATGCAAACCCCGACACGAGAGCGTTCCGTCGTTATCCACGCCGGGTCTGGCTCGCCCATAGTCGCCGCTCCTCGCACAGCCACAAAGATCCCCCCCCGTACAGCCTTCACAGACTGTTGGTGCCACTGCTGTTAGCGAACAGCCTGAACGGCACACCAGGGGGTGGGGGGCAACACCCCGACCGTCCGCCTTTGTGCCCCGCAGTCACGATGTTTAACGCAACGCACCCAGCGACTCAGTTGAGGCTGAGTCGACCAAGGGGAGGAGGCCCAGGACCGCTGCAAATAATCGTCACGGGTGTTGGCCGTGCCCGGGAATGGAACCCGGGGTTTTGCCGGGTTCGGAGCGCAGTCCCGAGGGCCCCGTGCACTACACCACGCAGAGGAGCAGCTCGGCAGCTCGAGACTGCAAACCCCGAGTGGCGCGCGCGCGCTCCCCCCGCCGTGTCGGGCTCGCCGCCCCGCCCCCAACCCCCCCCCCCCCACAAACCCCCCCCCCCTCCGCTCTCCATACTCCCCCGCATCCGTTTCCCTATGGAAACCGCGCTGCCATGGCAACCGGGTAGCCATGGTGATAGACAGAGCAGCGGGGCTGCGGGTTTGGGCGTCGCTCGACCAGCCGCATTCTCCGGCAGGCGGCAAGGCGGCGGCGGTGAGCGGCGGTGCCTCGCTGCTCCGCTCCGGCACTCGAGCGAAGCGGCCCGGGAAGAGAACCCCCCCCAAACACCCCCCCCCCCCCCCCCCCCCCAGCGAGAGGGCGGCAGCACAGGGAGGGCTGCTGCGTCGTCTGCTCGGCTCCGTTCACAGGCGCAGCGAGGGCGAGAGAGGAAGAGAGAGGAAGAGAGAGATAGAGGAGGGTGAGAGAGGAGCGGACGTAAGGACGGGAAGAGCGGAGGAGGAGGAGGAGAGTTGGAGGAGGAGAGCGCACGGCAGCCAGTGGCGAGTGCGCGCTGTCTGAGGTGGGTGGTGAGAGAGGTCTTTGTGCGGCCGGGATAATTATCGGGGGTTTTTTTTTTGGGTTTGTCTTTTGATACAAAAGGACGATCCCTCAAAAATATGCGGGGCTTATTGTTGTTTTCCTATTGTCTTACTGTTAACATACCTATCCCTGCTCTCAAGTATCACGGTGAGGATTTTAACGGTACGGTCGTGTCAATGCAGTGTACGGAACCTAGCGTTTTATTTCTCTACATTTCGGTGTCGTCGTCGCCGTCGTTGTGTCGTCGCCGTCGTTGTTGTTGTTGTGTCGCATGCAAAGCGATGTCGTTCATAAAATAAAAAAAAAGCAGCGGGGAGTGTCGGGCGCGACCCGAACCCGCGCGGCATCGCGGGTTCGCGAGGCCGCGCGCACGAAGCAAAATGGGACCGGTGGTGCGGAGACCCCTCCGTGCATGCTAAGTAGCCGCCGCCTTTGGAAACAAATGAACTCTGGTCATTAACACGCGCACACACACACACATAAACAACCTATTTATCATACAGCTCGCAAGCTAGGCTCCGCAAGACATCCGCCCTGGAGGCATTAATGTGTCGAAGCTCACGTGCAGCAGATATGAAAGCAGCGAATGCTTTCGTGTGTCTGTGTACGTGCCAGAAATGTAAAGGAAAACTTGACAATTCATGAATGCTATGTGTGCATATATGCAGTAGATATTAAATGTGGCGTCTTGAAGTGTAAAATATGAACACGCTGTGTGCTTGCTGTGCCGCTCAAATTTGCTGACAATGCTTGATGCTGGCGATATTTCTTAACAATATTCACACATGCACACACAGCTTATTATATATTGACCAGTAACATCGTCGATTAGTCGGTGTGATACTATGAGTTCACATTTAACACATGGTTAATTTCAGCAGCCCACATGGTTTCTATTTGATAAATCAAATATATGTGTTAAATTAAATATGTAGGGTAATCACAAGATTTAAAAATGTAAATGTCTTGGAAATCCTCCGTGCTTGCAGTGAGAGCTCATTTTCCATTTAAGAAATTCTGCTGCCCGAAGCTTTAACCCAATATCGGCGAGCAAACAATAAATCATCCAGTGGCGTGACTGATTCAGCTGGGTCTCCTGTGTTCCACATCTCTCGCACTTCGCACTGGATCTTAATGCATTGCATTTGCTTCTTAATGATTCCTCAACATTGTTTTCCTGTGGTCGCTTTACAACGTCATATATAATTGAATCATTAGTGGTGGTACTGAATTATTGGTGGTGTTGCATCGTCAATTAGGATCAAAAGCTATTGGTCTAAATTAGTGCGTGCTATGTAGTGTCACCATTGGTGACCTTACAACACCAAAGTTATTCCGTAGTAAATACAGAAATATCAGCTTCAAAACTGATGGCACAACAGTTAAGAGATAACCATCTGTAAAGGCCAACTCTGAAATACTCTTAAGCGTGTGATTTAAACTTGATTTGTGGATCCAATGCTTAAGTATTTTTCACTAGGCAGCCACATTTACAGGAATGACGCACTGCAAATTCGTCTCGCCCATGTTGTTGGCTGTAAGAGCCTGGTGCGAGAATCACACATGGGAGCCATTAACTCATATAATATAAATTCTTACCAGATTCATTCCCTTTGTCTCCTCTCCTCCCCTAACAATCCCCGTTAACACGTGCCACTTAACGTTTCCATCGCAGCAAATAAAACACCGAGAACCCTTTCATACCAACCGACGGTTGGCAATACGAACAGCAATCCAAGTATTTAATCTGCTATGTTTAATACAAAAAAGCGAATGTACAAAACAGAAGTGCGTGTCTGAAAATGAAATTTGTCACGGTGTAATAAGGCAGACGCTCACACCAGGGCCGCTGCTGCGTGTAGGAGGCGCTGAAGCATCTAAATGGGGGGGGGGGGGGGGGGGGGGGGGGGGGGCTCCGTGCCCTGCCAGCCACCAAGAGGCCCAGCACTAGCCACTGAACAAACGCAATGCAGATCCCTTTAATTGAGAAAAAGCCTGTGCCTCATCTACTGCAATTCAACCGCGCACGCATCGTAAGCCATGCATTTGGCCGGTTTATGGCAGGAAGGTGCTCTAGTCTCTCGAGTTTCTGCATTGACTTTCACCACCCGCTGTTTGCTGTTGAGTCCATGAAGTGGTCTATCGGGTATTTTTTTTATTTCTGTGGAGGTTCAAAATTTTGCCGTTTACTTTTTGTAGAAAAAATTAAGAGCATATTGCACAGTTTATTTTTATTTCTGTACATTTTTAAGGTAACGCCAGCCATGAAGTATGTTGTGTTGAGGGTTGTGCAAGGATGATGCTATTACGTTGTAGCGTGTGATATCAAGAATATATTTCATTACGTAATTTTCTGTATACTACCACGAGAAATAAAATGCAATATTATATGTTGTATATTGTAATAGCAAGTACGTAATGTGTTTTTTTTTTATATAAAGCAACTATATAGACTTTCGTAGCTTTCAAATATATATTTAAGTGCTAACATTTACAATTAGTTTAAAGCATGCAGATATTTCACGAGGCATCCTTTGCCAGTACCAAAATATACGAATATGGTTTTTCCCCATTTTTTCTGGCAACAAGACTGGTTAATGTAAACATGATTCCTTGCAAAAGGTATCAGTTTTGTTGCCAGAAAAAAGGGGAAAACACCTATTAGTACATGCAGATATTATTTGTAGCTTATTGGATTTGAATATTTCACGTTATAAATGTATTTGATTGAAAAAAAAATATCTGTGGAAAAGGCAAATCTTACATTTTAAGGAAAAACATTTATCTTTTTTAAAAATACCCGTGAAAACAAAATATCACTTAGCCAACAATGAAATAAAAATACAATGATACTGGAGACTTATCAAGATATACAATGTAATGAATATAAAATTATTAAAATGCCATCTTCAAAGAAACAAAATCAGTAACTGTATATTTTGGTATTTCCATCCACCAGTAGTTTAACATTACATTATACAAATCAAGTGTATTTAAATTTAGGTATTCATTAATTCTAATTTTGCAAAGTACATCAGCAGACGAGACTGCAGATGTACAATGCATTTGCTCAGCATCCAAATCGTGACTGCTTACTATGTCTTAGCTTCAACAATGAGTGGAGACCATGTACCTAGAAAATATTGTTTTGAATATATTGTGACTAATGTAAGTAGACCTCTGAAACAACTAAATTCTCCTTTATGGATGCTTAATAATGTATTTTTAAAAATCCAAAAACACAGTTCATACAATTGACCAAACATGTTTTATTTGTATGATTATTCATGCAATGAAATTTGAAAGCCGAAAAATTATGGATGAGGACAAGAGTTGGTGTGTGATGGTTGCAAGCCCACGGCTTAGCAGAAGGCATTGATGAGTAGCCAAGGGACAGGAGGCCGTCGAGACGAACGACAGTGCTTCACCACAGCGGCAGTCTCCACAATCACTCTCCCTGCTCGAATGAGCAAAAGGGCAATGTTCACTTCCATGCAGTGTAGAACACGTTTACAAAATAACTGTACATAGCTTTTTTTTTCTATTTAAAGCTTTCGTGACTGCAGGGATTCCTATTCTTGGTTCTTTCGGTAAAGTCACGTAGAAGGGAAATAATAAAATAATACAAATAAAACATAATGTCTTTCTGACAGCTCTGTTTCTTCACCTGAGGACGGCTGCTTGCGTTTGTTGTGGCCGAAACGTCGTGAGAATTTTATTAAATAATGTTTAATTATTATTTTATTATTATTTCCCTTCTTCGTGACTTCACCGAAAGAACCAAGAATATAACTGTACATATCCTCCACCTGATTATAGCAATCTCTGCTGACTTGTGTTTGCTCTTATGTCTTAGCCTGCATCATCCACTGTTTCTTCTTAGGAGCCATCCAATTCTTTATTTTTAAGGTTATCGCATTTTATATAGCTTCTTTTGTTGGAACGTTTGCCCATTTTTGTATTTATTGTTTTCACTGTTGGACCGAGCACGTCTCTGCTGGTATTTCTAACGCTGCTGTTTCATATCCTTCCCATCGTGGTTCTGGTTCTGCTTCAAATGTATTTTGGACTGCAAGAATGCCTTTTCTGAAGTTGCTGTAGTGAATTGGCATTTTGTCAAATTCGATTGGTCAGCATACCCAGACTTCTCTCATTCACCACTCAGCTTGATTCGGACTGCCGGAACAACTGAGCTGTGATCTGAGCCTAATCTCTTTAAACAGACAGAGCGTGCTCTTGAAGAGGTTACTCTTTCATCTTTCTTACCATCTGGTGGTGCAGTTTGCATGCCTTTTCTGCTGGAAATGTATAAACGAATATATTATCACTGCACACCTTATGCAGCCTTGTTGGGATATAAATCGTGGTTATATTCCATACTGGTCTAGCTCTCATTCATCGTGCTTTTTGCTAAGGGCGTTGTAAGAATATAGCTTTATAACTACTTAAGGATAAAAAAACACATTGAAACAGAACATTCAGTCGACTATGAAGTCATAAAGGTTTAATGGCTTGTGAACGGGAGGATCTGCATGACCAAACGCAATCTCGCACACTCGAGCCATGCTACGGCTGGGCCGAGCCATCTGGGCACAGCTCAGGAGGTGCCAGGTTGTCTTTCCCCTGCAGAACCCAAGCCGTGCCACCGATGTTACAAGCAAGGATTACCCTGATTAACCCCCGCCCCTTGGTCTGGCTTGGCTGGGAGGCCGATTCAGATATCTTGTGAGGCCGGAATTGGCTTTGGCTCGGCTCTTCTACAAATATCCAGTGAGAAAAAAAACACCTGTATCGCGAGTCCCCCATACTGGCGTGGCTAGGATGTGCCAGTGGAACAAGTGGGCGGTGGTGAGAAGTTAACTCCCTCGCCTGGTATACAGGAGGTCGTATGTTCGATCCAGACCCTGACGCCTATATATTTGGAGTTTGCGTGTTCTCCCCATGGTCGTGTGTATTTCTCTCCGGGTCCTTTGGTTTTTC